ACAGTGTCAGTGCGTAAACAGCTATGGGCTGGCTTAGTGTACAGTGTCAGTGCATAAACAGCTATGGACTGGCTTGGTGCACAGTGTCAGTGTGTAAAGAGCTATGCGCTGGCTTGGTGTACAGTGTCAGTGTGTAAAGAGCTATGGGCTGGCTTGGTGTACAGTGTCAGCGTGTTAAGAGACTTCCCACACAGTACTTTACCATCAAAGACCCACAACCCCTGGCAGTGACTCTCCCCAACACCAGCTAACAGTCTCGTTTGGGCAACTCAGCGGGGGGGTGACACTTCAGCGATGGTTCTGGAATGGGCTGCTGGGGGCTCCTAATAGGCCGGGGTCATCACTCAGGAGGAAAAGGAGACAACTGATTGGAGGGGAAAAATTCACTGGATAGTAGTGTGGGGCGGTGTTCATACAGCTGCTTATTCACCCGCTAGCTGGAGGGCCGGATAGCATCATTTACAAGGCAGTCGTGACGGTTCAGGCGTTAGGCTGGACAGGTCACAGTGAGGAGCGTCACATTCTGGCTTCCGTGCATCGCCCCAACAACCCGCAGTCTGAGTGGTTCCGCTCCACAAATGACTCCTGGTACTTTGGGTGATAAGCAGGTCACCGTGACAGATCAGCACGGCTCACCGTGTTTAACCCTAACCCAACCTAAGGTTTGGCTCACCTGTCCTCCACGGAAACACGCTGCTCTGCAGGCTCCACGGCTGCCGGAGAGCTCCGGCGCGCGCTCCTCCCCCGACGGCGGCCTCACGCAGCACGAGGGCTCATCTATGCCAGCGCCAGCTCACAGGGACTGATGGGAGGGGGGGGGCACTCCGCGGGCTGTCAGGACAGGGAAAGGGTGCTCAGCTGCAGGGGGGCATGATCACTCCACTGAGAACACGCACACAGAGACACAGAAACAGGTACAGACAGAGAGACAGAGACTGAGAGACATCCAAACACAGAGACAGACGGATGGACAGACAGATGGATGGACGGACGGACTTAACTGACAGACACAAAAACACACAGAAAGACAGAGTCAGACAAGCACAAACAGATAGACACAGGCAGAAACAGACAGAAAAAAACACACTCAGACACCCAAACACAAAGACAAACACACAGGCAGACAATTGAGACAGAGAAACACAGATTATCTCTCGGAACTCGGAAATTCCAAGAGGAGTGACATCACATCCAACAATCTCCCGTTCAAGCTACCGCATCTCAAAACAAACATGGCTGCCTCCATGAACACGCTGTTGTGTGTTGTTGCTTTAAATCAGCAGATTTGGAGTGAGATTATTTTTTCCGAGAGACATACAAACAAACACAAACTAGTCGAACCACATTAAAAGCTTTCTAAAATATTTTAGGACATTCACAGCGAAATTATTTTTTCGAGAGGCAAACAAACTACAAACAAACAAAATACACTAATAAGTCTGGTAAAAATCTGATATTGCATGCTGGGATACTGTTTACGGTCATGATATGGTATTCTCTAAATCGAACACGTGCAATTACATTTATAACTATTCATACATTTAACAAAATACACTAGGGTGACCAGATAATCCATGTCAGGGAGGACACTCTGAGCTAGGACAGGATTTGTAAATTACCATTTCAATTAAAAGGACCTGCATTTCACTTGAGCACTGAGTTCTTGCTGTGTGCTGATTGGTCAGTCTCCTATAATCATTCATGTGTCACTAATGCTAATGTGAAACAGCTGGATGA